TATTAAGCATGTATACTCTTATCGTGGTGACCCACCAGCAGATGGAGACATGAGATACATCACTTTTCAGTGTGTGTAATATTTGTTCATTGTGCAAAACAAGAAAAAGCATGTTGACCGATTCTGACAGTTCATTTTAAAGTTGATATTGGCTGATAGCAATGACGTAACAATATTATCATGCATCCTTAATCTCGACTGAACAGTTTAGCACAAAATTTGGTATAGACATTCATGGTTAACTCAGGGTTCCCTTGTCTCTTCAAAAACCTGGAAAACCGTTGACTAATTTTCCAGTCGTGGAAAAAGGGTGAAAAATAAAATGTCCTGGAAAATCCTGATCTGGAAATGTAGTTCAACATTCTCCTATTTTACTTTAGCTTTGAATAATAATAAAAACACTTGGACCATGTATCAGAGCTCCCTTACGTGGATAAAATTGCCATCTGAAAGCGCAAAGTTATGTTCAGGCTCATATTTATGTTCGAATGGTAGTTTATGAGAGTATTTTGAATAGGCTGGTCTTGGTTATGTTGTGGAAACCCTGTGAACACACCCTCAATCACGTCACATGGTAGCTCACGCAGGCTGGATGACCTCACAAATCAAAAGGCTGAAACTCTGGATGATGTCAGTGAAGCACAGTGAAGTGTCAAGTATGAAGTTGTTTGGATGAGCAGTTCAACAGATAAGCAGCAATAATGGAGGCTGAACAATCGGCCTGTTCCCCACAGGCACATTTTAAACAGGCACTGGACCAGTACTAACACAGTGCTGTATGAATGTAGATGTGCTTGCACTATTCTATGATCAATTGGTCACCATTTCTAAGGACTCAGACTGATGCATATAGTCCTGGAAAATTCTCTCTTGAATAAAGCAGGAACCCCGTTGACTGGAGGTGTGGAGTGAGAAAGAAGCAGGCATGTAGAGGGCTGAAAGTGTCTACTGATACTTTCCATTTGCACTGGGAAGTCGAAATTTCTGAGTTCCCAGTTGGAAATTTCAATGTGAACGCCCCTTAAGTCAGATTTAGACTTGGAACATTGAAGAAACCTCTTCAATACTGACCTCAAAATCCAATATGGCTGCTCTGTGCATCATCAGCTGCATACGCCTTAGTAATAAGCTATTTATTAGCACCTTTGTCTCATTTGTGTCCCATTTAATCAGTCATACAAACATTACTATACAGCTGCTCTGTGGATATGTTGCTACAAGTGTTTGCATGTGCAAAATACAGCATAATGTGTTGTCATCAACTGGTATTGCTAACACAGGCTAGTTTGGCTAAAAACTGGTATTGCTAGCAACATCTTTGTTGTCCAACTTGTACTGGAATGCGGTCAATTCGGGTGTGACGTGAATGGAATGCAGCATAATGAAAGCTTCTGGTTGCAGTTGCATTGTGGGAAATGTAGGATCCAGTCCTTTTTTGTTACCTTTACACCTTACTAGGAACAAAAGTTAGGATATTTTAGCCAGTGCTGCTTCAGTTTAGACCTCTCCTTTTTTCTTCTGAGTTTCCAAACTATATGGAAATCTAACACCAAATTACTGGAGGGCTTCTTTAACTGGCTCTAATAGGCATAAGAGGATGGACGAGCAACATCACTCAAAGTTTTATGCTTTTAGTCTTGTGTTTTGAGTCTCATTCTCTCTGGTTGACCTCCTGTCCCGACCTCATCCCTCTTCCCGCTCGGGGCTGGCCGAGACCTTCAACTCTATCATAAAGCCATCATAAAAATCAGTCACCTGGCCTTGAAGAATGTAGCACAGTAAATGCTTTCAGAGTTCATTGTTAGAACCGTTATGACCTGATAGTGCTAATCAGTTTGAAAGTGGTTATTAACTCCAGTAAGGCTGTTTTCATTTGCGTGCATCAACGCTTCAGTAATGTCATGAATGTGCATTTGTCACAGTGACTGTTGCATTTTTGTGACTGTAACTTGAGGAATCAGGCATCAGCACTATTGCGTTTCTTCTTAACAATATCTACCAACTTGTTCCTGTTTTTTGAGTCTATGTTCGTGCATGGGTCCCTGATCATGCAACTCGCCTCGAGTTGTCACGTGCAGTAATCTCATGCCTGTCATTCCTGTTCTTGTTTGTTCAGAAGTGTCTCTTCTTTTCTTGCAGATAATGTGGATCACTGGGTCCTGAACTGTACGTAGTCATCAGTGCTGTAGATAAAGACACGATGTTAGCACAGAACTTGTTGTTGATCACCCCTAAAGATAGCACATGCCTGTAGGCCTCAGGTGTTTTTAGAGAGGCTCCTTTTCAGCATTGTGTTGGTCGTTTAAAATATGAGGAACGTAACAGATTCTCACATTTTAGAGGCTTTGTCCTTGTCTATTGTTCAAAGAAGGCCAGTGCTCTGTGTTAGGGGTAGTTTATGACTCTTAAACTATATAAACAAAGGTGTTCTAGGTTCACCTTCTTTGTGTCAGGCCCTCTGTTCTTTCCCTTATCTAAGTTTAGTACAGAGATGACACACAAGTAAGAGAAACTGACTCTGGGAAAGAAAGCAATACCTACACTGTCCCAGCCTTCCTGTTGAACTCTGACCGTCGAGGACAAAGGTCAGCAGTTTGTAGACAAATAAATTTCACCGTCAGAGTGTCACACCAGAGTAACCTAGAGCAGCTTCTCAAATATCCACTGATTTAATGAGGCGGCAGCAAAACATTGACTAATGTCTCGTGCAACAGGAGGAAAGAGTGCTCTGAAATGTGGATGCAGGTGCAGACTCGCTGGCTCTTCCTGTCCCAAATTCCTGTCTCAATCATGATTCATTTGCATTTATGGTGGTAGCTGTTATAACAACATAATACCAACACAGAAAACATTGAAATAACATGCACTGCAGAAGAAAGATGAAATATTTGTGTATGAATGCTCAGATCTCACACACACACACCATTAAATTCAGCTACATTTATTACTCTACATAGAAGGTTTCAAAAGGCTGTCCTTACAGAGCTGTGTTCTAGACAAACTGATGACATCTTCATATTGCTTGTCCTGTGCGGTCAGCATTTAAAACCCCACAAAAATATTTAATCCATCATCACATGTGACAAAGACAAGCAGCAAATAACCACATTTGAGAAACTGGAACCAGCATTTTTTTTTTTTTTTTTGGCTTGGAATTTTGTTCTTGTAAAGCACTTTGGTGACTTCTGTCTTTTTAAATGTGCTATAGAAATAAATGTGACCTTGACCTTGACCTTGACCCAATTTTTCTTTTTGAGGCGGGACAGGGAAACTTAAGCGTGAGACAGCAGTTCAACAGTATACGTCAAATAGAAGTGGTATACCTCTTCTGAAAGCTCTGAACCCGAAGATTAATTTGACATGCAGCTCAACGCAGTCTCTCAAGTTTTTCTAGTCACAAATATGTAATAAACATAGTGTTTTGGAAGTCTAGTGACTGATAATTTTCTTTGATTTGAGGTATAGTGACAAATTTAAGCCAAAGCAAGTATAATTTACAAGACAGAAAGGTCAACTTGGGCTCAAAATGAAGCTTATCAACTTGGGACGTTTGCTACAAGTGAAGCAGTGATGTTAAACACAAAGTGATGAAAAATAATAATTTCTTTTAAGAATTTGTCAAACAGACAGTAATTTTGTTTTTGTTTTTTGGGGGGATGTTGTGTGTGATATGTTGAAATAAAATGGCAGCAAGCCCGGGAATCTAATGTTGCTGCTTTCCCCTTTGTGTTAGCACACTCCCTGCCAAATGTCATACTTGTATGACAATTTATGCAATTGTAGTGCCCTACTATTTGCATTTACATCATTTTGCCAGAAGTGTGTCCAAAAAAAGGGGTTTTGGGCCCCCTGAGGCCAAATGGCCTGAAGTTGGGGGTGCTCGTTATCAACTTGTGATGGCCCAAGGTTCAGGCTAACAGGAAATAATAATCATGGACAAAAAGATAGTAGAAAACGTCATGAGGGCTGGACCTGGCTCCTGGCCTAATGGAAGTATATGATGGCCACTCACACGCTTATTTATGTCTGATGTTGTTGCAGCAATTTTTTGGTTGATACCATTGGTTAAAAAGATTTGGTACTAAAGTAAAGCATTTGTGACTACACCAGAATCAATACAAACGATCAAAAATCTGTCTGAAATACCTCAAGACCCTGAGGAACACCACAGAAAAATACATGCTGTGATTTGATATAAAAACTTCTGACATTTTGAGATTTATGTAAGAATTCTAGCGATAGATGGCGAACACTTCTGTCTTCTTACACAGTGATGTCCGTTTAAAACAATGGTCTCACTACAAAGAAATGGCTACTACGAGGGCTAACAACATCACGCATGAATGAAATTGGGCTCGTTGAACCCACAAGGGTCTCAGCTTTCCAGTCAAACCATATTTATGCAATTCCAAGACTGTTCATGGACCCCAGTGTGCAGAAATATTCAAAAACATTTGTATTGCATGAGAAAGCTGCCTGATATTTTCCCAAAACTACCTGGGACTAGCATGAAATTGGCATGTCTATAGAGGGGGGACTTGTGGGTACCCATAGAACCCAATTTCATTCAGATATCTCAAGGTTAGAGGTCAAGGGACCCCTGTGAAAATGACCATGCTAGTTTTTTCCATGCTAGAGTGTTATTTAAATCTCTTTCTGATAAGCTAGCAAGACATGATTGGTACCAGTGGATTCAGAGTTTCATATGAAACCAGTATCATCACTCTAGTTTTATAACTCAGCCTGTTATAGTGTAGTGTAATGTACCTGTTTAGTCTTATGCTTTAGTATCAATTGACCTTTAAAAATACATGTCCAGGCAATATACTCTGCTTGATCATAACCAGTCACACCTTGGTTTATTGTTTCATGTATCCACATAATGATAAATTCATTGGTTTATTGTATTGGATGCAGGATCTGATGTTCAAGGACTAAAGTGGGAAGTACCTAGGATCTGATATGCTTTGATGTGCATGTATGACACCATTATGTTCGGACTTATGTGGGAAGGATTAAAGAGAAGAGGTGGACATTCGACAGAATCTTCACCAGCATAAAAGAGAGCACACAGAAAACAGAACTTCAGTCCTGCTCCGGAGCTTGACTCATTGAGTGGTATGTGTTGTTGCCTGCGAACACATTAAACTCAGTTGCACTCGATTCTACGTGTCTCCAGTGATTCCTTGACTGCTGAGTATTTGGTTTTAAAGATACTTATTTTGGACAAGAGCAAAAGTAGTCTAAAAGTTGAAGACGAGGTCGGGACCCACCAGGCCCAATTCCAGGCCCCAAATTCTGCTTCATCAATAACCTGGAAAAGGCAGTAGTGTCAGCTGGGAATGGCGGTGTACTCGTGGAGGTAAAGAGCTCAGAAATGTCAAAATATGACCAAAATTCGTTGAGTTAAACATCTTATCATTTCATGCTGTGTTATACACTGATGTGCATTCATTTTAATCTGGATTTATGCTTGATGCAACGGGTTAAAGGCACTCTAGTCACAGATACCATTTGATTTACAGCTCATTGTTGGGATTTCCTTCTATTTTGACATTAGATAGATGCATAATTCGTGGTCCAGCTGTACTGAGCTTTAATTATATTCCTCACAGTAACTGACTTTACATTCTTACATGATACTAGGCAGCAGTTCTGCCTGCAGTCACCGTGTTTACGTTCTGGTTTGTGGTGGAGATCTCTTCTCTAGACTTGTTGGTGCTGAAAAGCAGAAGATTGTTACCGAGACGTCCTTCAGCATCTTCATTCAACGATCCCTGCTGGCATCTGAAACATGCAGGTGGAAACACAAGCTGACCAGTCACAGTTCTTGTGGTTTCCACACGGTGTCTCTGCAGCTGCTGCAGACCTGACGTGTATTCTGATGTGTTGGAAGAGGCACACGTCAGCTCCTACAGCAGCTACACGTAGGCTCCAAAAATATTGAACGCAGAATTGTTATTCCATCCTTTTGGTGTTTAGGTGCCAAGAAAGGGCTGTACGTGATATTCTATAGAAATGCTCCATGATGGCGTGCGTCTGTCTCACACTGTGTCATAGTTCCTCTTAAGTACGCTGTACATGCAGGAATTCTAGTGAATGAACTTCACCACTTAGTGTTGAACTTTCCTGATGGTATAGAAAGATCTGTTTGCTCTCTTTTTCTGACTGAAGAAATCATGCAGCCTGCATTTTTCCACCACTAATCCCTTTGTCCTGTTTGACAGTAGATTACAGGATTTAATCTATTGATTCAGGGCAGTAACATTAAACATACCGAGCACATTCAACAGACAAACGTTGTCACAATCTTTAATTATCCTGACATTATTGCTAGCATTTAAACAATAATGTTTGTGTATTGAAAGATTATAAAAGCCACATGCAAATATCCACTTGTATGGACTTTGCACCATGTCACACAGTCTCTTCCTGCACATGCACACATCACCATTTATGTCACCCTCTGACTAATCCCATTTCCTCTTTACTTGAAAAACAAACTCTACTTTACGACCTTTACGTTGTTTTCTAATGAGCTGTGTGACGTCCAGGCCGTTATCAATTATTCCATCCATGCATGCTGTTGTTTAACCCTTCCTGCTTCAGCTCCAGCAGGGAGGAGGGGCCAACCAGCAACACTGCACAGACCTTTGGCCTCCTCTTTTTCACCTTCGCTGTAGTAGTAGTAACATGCAGTCGGACGAGCTCAGGGGTGGAGGCTGGAAACACTGAATACGTTTGTTTATTGTTCCATATAGGCAGAGCAGTGTTGGGTGAGAGATGGAGATCCATTGTGTAGTATCTCCCTGCCTTCGTCATGAATAGTAGCTTTCAGAGGAAAGAGGGACTGAGGGCAAAAGGCAAAGCGCTCACAATAGCTTTAAGTTTTACTGCGTTCCCGTCACCGGCAGCAGATTTTTGGCATGCGACCAAATGCAACATACACACAGCTGCACAGCTTGCTCTCCCCAGCCCTCACACACTAACTCTTATCTCTGTCTCAGTTGCAAGCACACGTCTTTTTCTACAGCCCTCTCTGCCCCACCATTCCTTTCTTCGCTGCATCCATTTCCAGCAAACTCCACTCGGCTTGCACCAAGCTTTCTTTTGTGCATTTTTTTTTTGACAACAATGCTGTTTGTTTTCCGAGGGCAGAGCAGAGAGACGCTGCCAGGCAGCCTCCCTGCCTAGGTCGCCTCCCTGCCTAGGTCGCCTGTGTCTCCTGCGTGTCACCCTCTGTGCGTCTGCAGTGACGTCTGAAGGGCATTATCTGCCAAAGGCCCGTGTTTGTTTTGGGCTGTTCTGGGTTTGATAATGGCCCATTACAGGCGAACTGGAGTCTCACAGGCACCTCAGTGGAAACTGCAGAGACCTTGCTAATCTGCGTGACACCCAGCTGTCAGTTGAGTAACACTTTGCTGGAGTAGTTTTTAGCTGAAACCAGCTCCACTGTAGCCAGAAACAACCCAGAGCTGATGGCTATTTTTAGCACATACTCTAGCTGCTAATGATATCACTGAGGCGATGGCTGCTCTTTGTGTTGCTCCCAGACGTTTGGCATGCTGCATGTAAAGCCGTGTTGTGACTAAATACTCGTTGAGCATCAACGAAAAGTATTCAGTCTTTTACACAACTGGCTCATTAACTGCGTACCTTCCCATGGAAGGAATGCAAGGAGCCGAGTTGACGGTTACATCAATGGAAAGGAGAGACATACGCCAGTTGTTGTTGTCACCCTTTGTTCTCAGTTTCGTTCTTTCTTTGTGTGTGTTGCAGTTTCTCCCTGATAATGTCTCTTGCATTGTAGAGAGGTGAATGAACCTCTCGTGGTGTAGTGCATTTTTAGCCTCTTCACTACCTGTTCTACACTATTATTGGCCTGTTGTTATGAGAACTTGTTGAAATCCCATCCCAAGATTGTCTCTGATGTCATAAGAGATGCATCGACTGCAGTCTTCTTGGCTAATTCTGATTTTCTTTCTTTGTAAGAACTGTACTTGACAAAATACACAAACATTTTTGTAAATTTTCTGTAATGGAAAATTCAATTGTATGTTCATTGTAAAACATTGGACTATTAAATAACCTTTTTTTTTTCTTCAAAACTGCACCAGGTTGCAGGACCTTCTCTCACTGTCACTCAAACTCAAAATAAAAAGCGCTCCATGTTATTGGACATATTTTTTGTATAAATAAGATCCAGTTTAATGTTTTTTACGTTACCAGAAGAAAACAGGTGCAACAGATCTTTATATGCCCAAACAAATGATTAGAGAAGTGGAATCTGAAAAAGAGAGAAAAGAAACTGCGCTTTTGCCAGAAGAGCTTGTCACTGCGATTACTCTGAGCAGCGTGCATGGGAATGTATTACAGTGTGGTATATTTGAAGTTGTCAGTAATGGTTTAAAATAAAGTCACTTAAACGGTCTGAAAAGTTGCTAAATCTTGTGAGAAAGTCGCCGAGTTGGCAACACTGTGTGTTTGTGTGGCTGTTACAATAGTCGATTACTGTATTTCCCCATGTGACGTGAACCATTGTGCGCTGCAGACATGCATGGATTATGAGACAATTTGCCCTTAGGGACAGATAAGCAAAAGGCCCCACCACCTCTCCTACAGAGGAGCAAAACACACACACATTTGTGTTGCTTTTTTTGTTGTTGTTTGCATCTCTTTTAAGTTCTTAGCTTTTATTGTTTTGTTTCTCTTTGTGGTAATTTTTTGGGGTTTTTTTGTCTCTTTTTGGTTGTTTTGAGTCTCTGAAGGGTGGCGATAGCTCAGTCCATAAGGGCTCAACTTCCCAGACAGAGAGGTGCCAGTTTAGCCCCAACTGTTTGGGGTGCTTGTCCATGGGCAGCCTCGCTCTGACATCTCGCCACTTAATACATATATAGGCCCTGTTTGTGCATGCATGTGTATTTTAAGCCTGTGTGTATATGTCTACAGAGTAAAAAAAATTAACTTCTTCGCCTTCTTCGTCTTTGTCTTCTTCTTCTACTTCTTTTCCTACTTCTTTTCCTTCTTCTTCTACTTCTTCTATGTGTAAATTTGAGTGACATTTTGCATGTTAAAGCCAGAGGGGCCCCTGACACTTAGGGCCACTGGGCCTGGTAGGCCCGCTCAGTAATCCATACATGCATACATGTAAATTTAACCAGCACAGAGGCTGATCTGTGGGTCACTGTCCCATTGATTGGCGCATCTCTAGATTTAATGCATTATTTGATTTTTAGGGGGTATTTTAATCTTTAATGGACGGCAGACAGGAAATGAGGGGCGAGAGTATAAGATGAAAATGTTATGCACAAGGTCACCTGCTGAACTCAAATGGGAGACATTGTAGTTTCATGGTCATCGCCTCAAACCTGCTACACCACCAGGATGCCTCCATGAACCTGTACACTAACTATCTAACAATAAGCAAAGAGAGGTTATTGTACCTTTAATAATGAACGGGTGACTTGCTTGTATTTTTCAAAATAAAGCTCATGATGTCAGTGTTATATTCTGGTGCTGCCGGGCCGACCCCCCTCTACTGTAGCAGGTATCCATTAGACCTTCACTTAGCTACTACACTACACTTACACTACATTCCCCATAACATTAAAACCACACTGCACCCACATTTAGGATTACACAACTTATAATTTGCCATCTCAACAATAGGCTAACAGGATGGCTGACAGTGCTAGCTTAAACTGTCCTACTCAGCAGCTCAGGAGCCATATTCCACCACCTGACTCACTGCTGTGTGGAGAGGTAAAATATGTCAAGGACAGAATTTTGGCTGTCGTTTTAATGGTGAGAAAAACGCCCATAATTCCTCTTAAAAGGCAAGGAAGCGTCCATGTGTTTCCATCCATAAGTTAAACTAATTATAATGTTGGGAGAAGGATAAAAGGACGACCGTCAAGTTTTTTTTATGTGCCATGAATCTTTGCTGCACCATTACTCCACAAGTCTAAATTAGGCAACATTAGTCAAGTAGATGAGTGTGTGAATTGTGCTCTGTGCAGAGTGGAGCCTAATTAGAGGTTGCCCAGCGAGGGCTGGTTTTATTTCACCCTGTGAATTCTCCCTTCTGCTTAATCCTAACATACCAGAGTGTTACTTGCCCCCCTCTGTTATCACAGTTATCTGTCATTATGTCAGACAGGCAGAGTCCCTGACACACATCCTGCTCCTCTTCACTGACAGCCACTGGATGTGCCGTCTGCCATGTTCACACAATCCTGTTCTTAGTATCATCATGTTTAAGAACACTGATTAACTTCCTTTGCTATCTCATGGATGTGCACACCGTATCTAACTTGACATGCAGCATATTTTTCTTTTGCTTTCAAATTCATAATTAACTGA